GTGCTGCCATTGATACCGACTAAGAAGACACGCCCATCACCAGCGCGACACAGACGCTCTCTTCTTTATTTGCTTGTTTTCGAGGAGAACGCAAAAAAAAAGACGGCCCAAGACTGGAACTTGCGTCACCATGGAGACGCTCTCCCTCGCACCAGCTCAGCGGAGCACGAAAAGTGCAGCGATTCCTTCAAGTTGATGATTCTTTTTTTTAACAATTCCTTCAAGTTTCCCCCGAACACGCCAGCGTTCGATGCCTGGCGAAGAGCCGCGGAATTAGTGAGCGTCTTCAAAGTAAACTGTTCAGTGTAACTAGAGCTGAGCGGTGCTAAAATGTATGCAGTAAACATCCAAGACTTCCAAAAACAACTGAGGGAATTGATACGAATGAATATCTCTATTGATAGTATGGCGAATCTCTGTACTATCCACAGACAATATAATGTACATTCTTACTCGCAAATACAATCATACAATTTTCATTAAAAAAATAATTCAATTCCGACACATGAAATGGAGAAAAAAAATTATTGCTTGGTTCAAGTTTAAAACGAAAACTATGATGGTAACTAAGAAAAACGTTAAGGTACTTTCATTTACACGTCACAGAAAATCACGCGAAATACGTATATATACATGTATTTTAAATAAATATTATTGGGAATAGATCGTTTTACTTTATCAATTACCTAGGGATTAGTCCTTTTTAAAAAGGAGTAGGCAACTTTCATCCGTATCGAGCACACTTGCGGCATTTCACTCACCTAATTCCCCCGCTGTTGGGAGCTTAATCAGCGATAATTGTCTTTAGAAAATCGAAGCCATTGAGCAGCTCGGCGTCTGAAGCTCCGGTAACACGACAGAGAACTCCAAAGTGGAGATCAACGAGACCGCCACTCGAAGGCAACAAGACTGGCGAGCTCAGAACTGAAGAGCTTTGGTGACGCTCAACCCAAAGATCGGTCCCTGAAAAATGGCGAGATGGCGGGATTTCTATTTCAGTGACAAGCACCACCGATAAGATTGATGAGGATTGACCAGGATGGGAATCATGTCGGAGACTTCAGGATGTTCCAAGCGAGGCTCCTTCTCGCTAATGTTGTCAAGATCTACGAGCATTTTACGGCTCGGCTTTGAGCTGAACAACCAAAAGCTGCCAGAGCGCGCACGGGGCTTGATTAGAACAAGGCTTGGAAATTAATAGCCTCCAGCCTGCAAATTAAGAGAAGCGATTGTACCAGCAAATATGAGTCTGCATGAGAGAGAATGCCAAATATATCATTTTAGTTTGGACATTGTGAAACTTTGTTGCAAAAAAATTACATGCGGCGCTATTTTGCGTTCCTTTATGCGTTCTAAATTGCGAAAGGAGAGAAGACCTAAGTACAAAATTTAACTATAAAGAACTAAAACCTTGTATTAATATATCACCGGAATAGTTTTCATCTCAAGGATTGATCTTAAGAACGGACCTGCTGAAGGCTCGTATCTGAATATCATTTCACTCAACTAATTAGGGTTTTTTGACCAGTTGGATACACCAAGCCAGGCAAAATAATAAATAAACTGAACGAATGAATGGGCCGGATCAAACGGAACTGGAATCCGTGTACAGAACCACGACCTTAATTGGGATCTACAAGCGGCGACCTCAATAAATTCCCTACCAAAGAAAAATGAGAAACAAAAATAAAGCAGAGAAACCTTTACGCCGCTCCCAAAAGTGGCCCCCCTCGAATGTTTAATTGGCACGGGTAGCGGCGGAAAATGCCGTGCAAAAATCAATGCTGAACGAAAAAAAACATTAATTAAAATGTATATTCTGTCCTTATTTGGTTGTACAGCTTATTTATTTTTACAAGCTATTTTCATGGTGTAATTAATTGTGAACCGGTTAAAAAGCCACAGTTACGAAAAATATTTGGAGCGTATCACTTCAAAAATACAGCGTTGAACGCATGCTCTCCTCAAGCTGCATTTTCGACAAAACCTGTCCGGGAAACATTCTGAGCTGATTAAAGGTAATCTGTTCTGCACTGCACTTAAACTCAAGCTTGTTCTCAAAATACACGTTTTGCAAACTGCCACCGCTGCCGAAGTTGTGATAAAATTGATTTTATGACAGGTTTTCCCCTGTGCTTCCCATACCCAAAGCAAATAATGTAATCGAAATTACTTCCAACCTTTGCCAGGAAAATCTGGATGACCTGAAGGAAACTGCTTTGAACGACAATCATAATTTTTGTTCATTGATTAATTTTACACAATAACAGCATTTTTCTTGTATTCGAAATATTTTGTATTCGAAAAAATTCGTAAAGAACCGCCATGGTGGGTAATAGTTCGCAATTTAAACTAGGAATCAACGTTGTGACGAGCAATCAGAACTAACTTTAAAGTTCCTTTGACAGTCGTTGGAACTCAGAATGACATGAAGTCCATTGCGTTAAGAAAAAACAGATTCCAAGAGGAGCACAACCATAGTTTTCTGACGCATAGAAGCTCTCGTTCTCGCCCTCAGAAGCGCACACAATTTGTGTGTCGGACAAGTTAGATCACCCTAGAATCGAGGAGAATTTATCTCGAGGTATTTTGCTAGGAGTCTCGCTGGGGTGAACAGTTAAAATAACAGAGAACATTTCCAGTAATTAAGACAAATTTAAGAGCGATTAATCGACTACTTTTAGCTACCGTGGAGATTACAACCTTTATTGACCCGTGACGCGGAACCCTTCTGGTAAACAGCTTGCAATTTCGCGCAATCAATTTTAAGTAATAACGGAATTTAAAGATATGGCAATTATACTTGAGTGGATTATTCACAGAAGTACGCCTTATTTGAATTTTAATGGCTAAAATTATATTTTGCTATTACCACTTTATCATAAATCATTTAATGTATGAATTACTTCACAAAGAGTCTACTAAACAATGTGATTATATAAAGCGGCCAACAGTGAACATAACGCACATTATCTGGCGAAATAGATCTCACTGGCTTAAAAATTACACGGGCAAATGGGACTCAGACCAAGTGAACTGCACGTTAATAGCTGATTTGGAATTTTGATAGGTATTTTAATACGTTTGCACATGATGAACGAATATAAATCAAATTGGCGCATTTCGAACCGAACGTCATGGATTGAAATTTGAGGGTAACGTTTAAAATAAATGCGCATCGACACGAAGGTTATACAACCAATTTCAGAACAAATAAATTTTGTGAGAGCAGCAATAATTTGAGCAGCAATAATTATTATTATTGAGTAGCAATAATTTTAGATATATTCTCCACGAGACGGAAGAAGGATCAGCATAATGTACAATTAACTTGCACGATATAGAACGATAGAGATATTTAACGATAGGGGATCTATATAACCCTCAGCGATAACGATGTTGGCGTGGGCAAGGCCGCAACACAGATAATGATGTCTCGTGCATCTATTACAAATATTGGAAACCGACCCTCCACAGTAACTTTATTACTATTAATATTGTCATCCTATATCCCTTCTATAACGGAATCTGTGTATAGTTCAAGGAGCACCTAAGTGTTTTTATTAGTGAGGTTTACAAGCTTCATACAATATTATTTCCGAAATAGCTATACCATTTTCTCCCCAGAGAATTGTACTGCGTTAATAATTCGATGCAAGAGAATTTAATTTACACATGCTTCAAGATTTCGCTAGAATAGTGAAATTCGCTGCCAATTAAGAGCAATTTCATTCGCTCAGCACGTATATCTACGAGCAGTAGTTTTTTCGCTTGCAGGCCCAAATATGCTAATGTCCATCAATTAACCCTTCTGTCTTTAAATCAAGACCACAGAACAAGAACCGAGTAGTCGTCTCTCAGGCGGTTTGCTTCTTCACATGGATGGTCGTCAGTAAATATGCACAATAATTTACGAACAAACAATTCGTGCGTTAGCTTGAAGGCTTGCAATGCTATTGGAGAAGTGAGTGTTAGGACATTTTAATGGACTCATTTGTAGGTAATGAGCAATAGGAAACCCTTTTTACAAAACTGTGTCTTATTGAATGCTTCAAATCGACATAGTCCGAAGATACTAAATAAGAGCCTGAAATCTTTCTGAATAAAGCTTGTCCATATTCATACAAAATAATATTTAGCCAACGAATTCTCAAGCATTGAAATTCATTTCACATATATAATTCGGTAAATTTATTATGCTTGATGTATGGCAGCATCGGCAAGAATTAACTTCGAAAAGATTTGTTAAACAATTCGCTGCGAAGAAATATAAACATGATTATTATCAAGGGAGAAGCCAGCTTGTAATTCAATTCTCAATCTAGCTAAAAATTGCGATGATTTTCTGTTGCGATTGATGTTAAAATGAAATTACTATTTATTCGGTAGATACAGTATTTTATAAAAATCAACTGCTACTGGTTCTAAGTATGACAAGTGTCGAATTTATATGCTAAGCGAACTTAATCGTGCATCGAGCATTATACAGCGCTGTTGCGTTTAGAAAAGGACAATACAATAAGTATTGCCAGTTTTAAAGACCGTGACTCTAATAATTTCCTTACTTCAACAACTGTAGAATATTCAATATGAGTTACTAACACTAAATGCGGTGGGCGTATTCATTACCCGTCATTCACGCTGTCCTATCTCAAAGCGCGAGTTCACAACGCGTATCGCACCAAAGGCGAGATTTGCTAATCGAATTCGCGGGAGAAGCTCCTAATTTTGACGCCTGGTTGAACTTCGGTCATGAACTAGAGTGAGAAAAAGCATAAATTTACGAATCGAATAACAATTCTAGGGCGCAAATGGAAGTACTAAAATTATGTAATAAATTGGCAGATATAGAGTTAAAATATTGGCAATAAATGAGCAGCGATAGCATTTGATGAAAGCTGTTCAGTTAGGCAAAGCACTGGAGTAGCAAGCACCGTCCCGCTCACGTATTGATCGCTGAGACAATATGAGACTCACTTTGCACAACACACGGTACTCACCATCTTCCCAGCTCTGGCAGCGAGTTGTTGATGGTACTCAAACAACAACCATTGTTAGTTTCACTGGCCTCCGGGTTATAATTGAGACTCGTTCGTCTCATACCACCTCTCTCAGCCATTTTTAAAGCTCTCTGGCAGCGGCGACATGGAGTGCGCAGGGCTGCAGCAGAGCACTGCGCAGGACAGCGACACTCGCCCGCCAATCTTTAAGTTTTCCCCACACAGAAATCTCCGAATCCGTATCACGTTGTTTACATTGCACTTCTCAAGAGTACTCTCGCAAGCAACAGCAACACTTTGAATAAATATTATTTTCTTTCATTTTGAAAACATTCTCGTGATTTCCGAATGTCATGATTTTTTACTGTTTGTAAGACATTTGTCGTTTTCCTACGGAATTTTTCTGGGAATAACATGGAAGTCTTGACCTCAGTAGTACGGTTACCTCAGCATAATCTTAGGAACAACCTCCTCGCAGTCTTTCCTTCATGTTAGCAGAGCAAACATTGGAGACTTCACTCCCGATTATGGAGTGAAGTTCATTGAAACACTCATCGTTAATCTAGCCTAGAAACACTTAGGCACATGATTATACACAAAGATCAATCATTATCTGATTATCAGGATTATAAATACATTATTTCGGATTTTTTTTAAAACGGCACGAATATTTTTAATTGAGTGGTTTTTCCGCCTCCTAATATTTCATCAAGGCTTCAACTACGTATCAGCTTCAAGCACACATCACTTAAAATCTAGCTACAAGAGCAAAACAAATTACCAGCACTAAAGACAAAAAATTTCCCTAGAAAAAATGCATAATAAAACTATTGCATAAAAGAAAGTTAATTCTTAAAAGTTATGCTGATTAAGCTCAGAATTATATAGCACTGTTATGTTCGGTTTCAGGCCTTCAGCTACAGTGCCACTTAACTCAAGATTCAATAGCTACTATAATACAAAATATATAGTAGATTATAATATTCTACTAAATATATGATCTATTATTTGTCTAAATTATTCATTTAATTCGATAGAACACGACATTCCCCAGGAATTATTGATTATCAATAAATTTATTTGCACTGATCCCCTTATAAGCTCAGAATGTGAGCAAAGTGTTCCAGAGAAAATTATTTAAATCAGATACTCCTATAAATAGAAAAATTTTCTACGAGTGAAACTAACAGAATGTGTTCAGCGTAGACTACAACGTCTTCCAATTCACCACGGAATCGATTGTAAGTTTGTATGACTCATTTAGCCTACACCAAATCGCATCAAATAATCACAAAAAAATGTATCAGCAAGATAAATGTTGCAATCAAACGAATATCTCCATACTTTCAAATGATAGAGTCAACAATATTTACCAGTACATCAGATAGTTCGAGACTCCCATGTAAATTGTCAGAATGTCAGCTAAGAACTCGAGTCGCCAGGTAGGTAGCAGATTTTCGTATTACAACACAGTAACAGAAACTCAGACCACGTTTGAAGTTTTATATGCGTCGTGCCCTTGTGATTCAATGCCTTTCTTTTCTTCAGTTATCTATCGTCGTGTTTATGTACTATTCCTGCATTGTTTAACATTCAGTATTACACACACCTCAGCCTCGCGGCGACACAACCCTTGTGCCTTGTTACTAAACAAGAATGGCAGCCATTCAACATACACTCACGATTGCACGATGATTGATAACCGGAACGTTATGCGATTTGAAAGAAGTAGTTCTCGCAAAAAAAATGAATTCAAATAATACTAAAGAAGATATAAGTTTACAGTGTATAATTTTTTATAGATGAGCACGATTATCAAGATAAGATCTCTATCAAAATTGTTAGTCGTCGTAACTGAATGAAATTTTCAAATAAAGCGTATAAATGAAATGAGAAATTTCCGTCTGATTTTATCTAATTGAGACGAGAAGCGATTGTGAGGAAAAAGACACTGTTCCTTGAAAGAACGAAAATATATTTTCACCAGTCATAATACATATTTCAATAATTGATGTTGATAATTTAATTATGAGTTACAAAGTTAATATTTTACCTCGCAGGCTAGGGTCACATTTTTATAGGATTCATTCGAAATTCGTAAAAATATATATTTATCACCATGAAAAGTGAAACGTTAAGTTTGTTGAAAATACGACTGCCCCTCTTTTTTTGGAGGTCTAAGTATGAGGCTTCCGATCTGAAAAGTTTTTCTTATAGTTATATTTTTTCATTATTGTGCTGCAAGTTTAATCTGCAATTTTTCTTCTCTTTATATCATATGAATTTGTATTGATAAACAAGGAAAATTATACCTGCTTGAAAAACCTATGTAATGTGAATGTTCAAGATTGTCAGTTTCTCACCTATTATCTTCAACTTTTAAATAAAAAACCTCCCTGGAACGTAATTTACTAGGAGTAAAAACTTTTCTTTTTAAATAGCGGCTTAAAAAACGACTGCAAAACTTGGCCGGAGAGGAAAGCTTGGAATAAATTTGAGGAAGTTTGGTTTCAAAAACTCTGCCGTCAGCACGCTCGGGAAATTTCCTTGAAAAATTAGTTTGTTCAGCAAATCTAGATCAGTTCAAATTTAGAGGCTGAGAATGAAATATCTGGCATTCGTTGTGATCATATTGGGCGCCTCCTTCTACGCCATGCTTTTCTCCAAGGTGTGAATGATATTACCTGAAATCATTTGCGTTTCCATTTTATTGCTGATTACATCAATTTTTCATATCATACAGGTCTGCCACAGTATACCCGGAGAATCGCGTTGGAATTCTTAGACTGCGATCCAACAGTTAACGAACTCCATCTCACCGTTGTGAAAACCGTTTCAAATTTCAGTGAAAAGGGTATTTAGTACACCATGCGAGTGCTGGTATACAGAAGGGTGTCAATCTCAGAGTTCTTTTTAGATTAAACGCAAAAACAGCATTCGTACCAGAACGCTGAATGAAAAGCAAAAATAAGAGTTCCTTATAAACAATGTAGCTTCTAAGCATCATTTGCCTACTCGTAACGAGTGCTAATTTGCTAATAGCTAAGAGCGAACAATGCGGATGAACTCCAGTAGTAACATTCACTCGTCTGAATAAAGAATGATATTATAAACGTAAAGCGTATAACCGAATTAAAATTGGTGTGATTGAAATGAAATAATCTTTAGTATTTCGCCCAGAAATATTCTTTAACCTAAAAATACACAAAGGTCGTGATAGAATTATTTGCTTTCAGATGTTTGACGAGAAGGCGAGTATTCAGGAGACTCTCAACGACAAACGTCAGGTGAGAACGCTATGAGGCCTTTTAACAACTCGCATAAGTTCAATTTATTTTCCCGTAGCTGACATGCGATACAATAACTTATTGAATGAGTGAGTGCTTTCATTTTATTTTTCTCATAAAACATTCATGAATTATATACAAATATCTGCCTATGTATAGTACTTCAATTACTTGACTGCATATTTTTAAAACTAATAAAGTTCACACTTTCTTTGTGGTTACAGTCTTCATTTTCTGAATTTCGCCGGTTTTGAATATACAATTTTGTGATGTTTTAGATATTACGTTTCAGATGAGTATTATTTTGTTACAGTTATTGAGCGTATTCACATTATTTCCATAAAACTTAGTCATAAATAACAAGAAATAATTATGACATTAGTCATAAATAACAAGAAATAGAATCGCTTCGTACGTCTCAAGCACTGCTTGATTATCTCGCATAAAACCACATATTTTGTTCTGTAAATAATTCACAATTTACCTAAGACTCCCGCATGCATGTTCATAGGAACTGCTATGGCGCTTGAATGGTCCTATCCCTCAAGACGACCCGCGACTTCTTGCACTTGTAAGAGAGAAGTTTCTGGTCCCTCCGCCGAAGACACGGTCTCCCAAACATCAAGAGGACATTTTCAATGAGAATGAGAGTAGAAGTTATGTATCTTGGCTATTTATCAAGTCAGTGCTGGAGGATCTGTTTACAGACGAGGCTCCAGGCTTCTTCGTTGAGGCAGGAGCTTTGGACGGGTCTCTCTTGTCAAATACTTTGTTCCTAGAAGATTCTTATAAATGGACCGGGCTTTTAATTGAACCTGATCCAAGAAACTTTTTTCATTTGAAGAATAAACATCGCAATGCATGGACGGCCCCGGTATGTCTCTCACATAACAGCTACGCTGAAAAAGTGTATCTCAAAATGAACCATGTTGCCATCCGTCATCCCAGTCAGAAAATACTAGGAAATTCTCACATCCAGGTTTGTCAATTAAATGTTTAATCCTTCATCGCCTTCTTCTTGGTAATTACTATTTTTTATTTCATTTCAAGCTTTTTTATTGCCATATCCGTACCTTACTGTAACTGAAACTAACTGCAATCCCTATCAAACTATGTCAGAGCAGGTGATTGTGTTCAAAAGAAATTCAGAAATTTTAAAATTAAAATATTCATAAAGCATTACTGAAGTAAAGGAGCTTCGGTTCATTTCTATCGGTATTACCATACCATAATTTCTCAATTTTTCTATCATAATTTTTTTTATAAACCTGTCAGTTTTAAAATGGTTTTGCCACATCATTAGTTATCGTGAAAGCGTCGAACTTCACGCTTTATCAAGGGAAGCTCGAACTATTGACGAATATTCGTCGTATTCTATTGCATATTTTGTCTCATCGAAAGTATTCATTTCTCGTTCGTATTTTTCTAGCATTTCACACAGAGAGTTGGTAATACGTCAAAAATTATTTTCATCATTTCAAAATTTCCGGAGACGTTTGCACGCGATATATTATAAATTTATAATAATATAAATAAATTATGATGATTTAAACCCAACCTTAACCCGAAAATAGCCCTTCTGATAATTTTACCATCGGAAACAACATCATACGAAGCGGAAAATAGGCAGTAATTAATGTTCAATTTTTTCCCAGGAAAGTGCTTATTAGTTCGTTCTTGTAAATCAGATTATGAATATCAGATTATGCTTCATATAATGATTATCAGATTATGCTTCAGATTATGATTATCAAATTATGCTTCAGATTGTGAATATCAGATTATGCTTCAGATTATGAATATCAAATTATGCTTCAGATTATGATTATCAGACTATGCTCTGCAATCACACCACATGAACTCAAAAAATATTAATTCGCTATTGTTATATTCGTTTACCCCAAAGCTTTTTAGCAAATTACATGATTGCTATGTTCTCGTGATAATTATATTGTCCCGTAAAAATTATACATAGCACTGAACTATAATTTAACTAGATTCTTTTCTATTATGAAGTAGAATACATTTGAACTTGAATATATACTTCTGGAAAAACATCTGAATATCTAAACAAAGTTTTTTTTATGTCTTTTGCGATGCATGCTCACTCAAATCTCGAAATTTCCTTTTTCTCCGTAGAAATAATGTTTTTTGTTGGATAATTAATAATCATGATGCATCAATGTATTTTCTCCTTCTCACGATATAAAATATTGAATTATTCTTCCCAGGCAATACCTGGTACAGAAGAAGGCGTCTACAGCACATTTGAAGAGATCCAATGTTTTGCCATCGAAACCCTATTGTTAGCTCTCAACATCTCACACGTCCACTTCTTCAGCCTCGACATCGAGGGAGGAGAGCTGGAAATATTAAAGAAATTTCCATTCGATGAAATTCTCGTTGATGTTTGGGCTATCGAAAATGTGTCTCCCCGGTGGAAAACTCTTAAAAATGTGACAGCTCGAACACTGTACACTTCACCTGCACAGATACGAAAGAATATGAGCATCCCAGACAAATTCGTTAGCGATATTGACGCTATATTAGAATGTATAGAAGACAAAAGGCTCATAGACTTCATGTTGAGCCGTGGATATTATTACTTTGATGCATTTTGCTACTTCATTCCGGACCTGGTATTTGTTAGAATAAACAGCACATTATTCTCGAAGCTTCACGTGCCAAAGAACTACTGGACACGACGCTCGGTTTGCGAATACAAACCCATGATAACGCATGAGTTCAACTCCAGCAGAGTCTCGCCACGTGTCCTAAGAGACCCACACCATCATCCTGGTGTCAAATATAGAAACCCGATTTCCCGGTAATTAAATTGAAGTGAAAATAATTGAATATTTTGGTGATGATGCCTGTAAAATATCTTTCCTATTTTTACATGGAACTGCCGTTGTTCAATTCTTATTTTACATGAATAAAAAACGTTTATCGGCTTGCTTCAGATTATCAGCCGCACTGTAAAATACATAATCCGATGCTCACAATTTTGCAAACCATTTTAGGAAATCAAGAGTAAAAATTCATAAGCAGCTTTATGATTTAAACATCTAAAAAATTATTTAGCACTTTTCCCTGTTTTAGTTTCATTTTTGCTGTGGCCAAGAAAGCTTTGGTTACTTAAAGCGAATTTTCCAAGAAATAGGAACTTACATAAAGCCTCACTTTTTTCGCAAATTATACCTTAAATCTATAATTTTTTATAGTTCTTATCACTATCACGAAGAGAACTATTATCAGCTAAATATTGTTTACTACTTTAAAATAAATTTTCGGTACTCAATCAGTATCAAGGAACCTGGTTAATGATTTATTTTACTACTCGACAGCAATATTTTATTATTGATTAGATCAAAAAAATTAATGGATGACGCCCTCAGATCTTAGGAAAAACACGAGCAACGTCTCTTACAAGACTCACTGCGTTAGGTGCGTGGCATCTAAATTGATCGACTGCAACTCCGGTTCTTGGATCCGGAACCATGCAAGTTTCTCCTGAGGTCTCACAGCCTGCTCGTCATTTCCCCTCATGAAAGTTCAAACCGGGATCATTTCATACGGTCATATAATTGCTTTGTTTCATCGGAAATTCTTCGAAAAGTCTCATCCATTAATTTCAAGAATTGAAAGTTGAGTTCTCGCGAAAGCATTAATTCTTTCACGAATTCGTGGACAACGAAGCTTTCCAATGTGCAAGTGCGTATATACTTCAGTTTCCCAGAACTGGTTGGACCAAACAAGCAACCTCAATAACAGTTTTAATTAAGCTTGTATCATAAAAGCTGTTTCATCTATAATAGAAGAAAAAACAGCGTACAATAGTTCAAAATTGTGATTACTTGTGAGCCAATCATTGATTGTGCACGATTCGACTCGGAAAATTCCAGAAATTTATAACCGGGCTCAATTAAGCAGAAAATTTTACATATTTTTTGTTTAAATTGCGTGAATTTATTAACGATTTTAAAAAATTTTCCATCAACACATCCTAAAAATTAATATTTTTCATATTAAATTACAAAAACAGGAATGTTTGTTATATCCATTTCCGAATTTTTTTTATTTTAGTTAATAGCAAAAACAGAATATTAGACCTTCTGAGCCATGTAAAGAAACTTTTCCTTAACGCTTAGACAGTTGAAAATGCCGATACGTATCTACGAACACTGATTAGAATAAGTATGTTCCATAATAGACGTGCTTCTCAAAAAAATTATTCATAATACTCTCCATAATCGTTTAAATCTTACAAGGATCACAAGTTCAACAATGCCAAAATATAATCGTATTCGAAAATGATTGTATTCTTTCTAAATACGATTGTTGCTCATGATCTACTAAAAAATGAGACAGCTAGTGACAGGCCATTGAATTTAAAATTCAGCAACAAAAGCTCACGTGTAGTCAGCTGGCAGGAGCAGCAAGTATAAACTCATAACTGTTGAACGGAGTCGCCGTAAGCAAGCGTTGGCTTCACCGCAGATGACTCGAGTCAACAGCCACCGAATCAACGACTCATACAAACTGGTGTAGCGATGAGCCTCAAGGAGGAAATGGCTTCCCGAGAAACCGTTAGCTTAAACTATAACGGAAATAACTTAAAAGTTTATTGCTAGGCTTTATATTTGCCAGCTTTCCTTCTAATAGACAATGGTTAGTTTAGTCACAAATTTAAGCAATTGGGGTCGGTTGTTGTCTATAGTGTGTCGTGCCTAAAATTTCTATAAAATTTGCCGTGCTCATCGTAAGCCTCACGTAACACGCAGTCCCACAATGCGGCACGGTGACGATCATCACGTATATACATGACGTAGTTTCGTCACGAATCACGCACGAGGTCGTCACAACCTATTTGTGTCCTACAGGAGTTTGAGGATGTGCGTAGCGCTCCTCGACGCAAGGATTTCTCTGGCGCATCGTCAGAGTTTCGCTCCAAGTATTCAATCCGGAACTTGAATTTTGATTTATCTGAATACCAATTTCTTCAACTTGTCCTTGTTTCTTGTAAATTTTCAACTAAGCTCATTCGACACTAATCAACGACCCAAATCAATCTGACAAAATTTCCATGCAGCTGCGAAAATATTCCAGTGTGAATTTGTTGCGCCTACTTGTGAGTGTGAGCGTTATAAGCAGCCACTAAATTTCTGCTAGAAATATAGCTTGATTTTGTGCAAGCGTGCCGCGCTTTCTCCAAGCACGCAACCTCTGCATTCGAGCTCCCTGACGGTCCCGCTTGCCGGACTACTTGAAAAATGGTTCGCCTGTTTATATAGTTATATGTACAAATATTAGGAATATATATCTAACATATTCAAATCAGATGCTGAGCCTTCAAATTTTTTATAGAGAATATTATGTGCGTAAGTAAAACAATACGTTTTGTGACTAAGTCATTTATTAAGTTACATTTTAACATGACTTGAAAGATTTGACGCGTAAAAAATTAAGGAAAAATTACACCTGAACATAATTCTGTCAACACTTCATTCTCATCCAAGCGTTCTGAGACGTTGACAAACTCTTGAAACTTCTCACTTGTTGGTCTAAAGATGGAGTGATATTCATACTGAACCGTACTGGCATGCAGAAGCCACGCTGCCAATGCACGTACAAGCAGTTTTTACTCCAAGTCAGAAAATTGTGTCATAGTTACTGAGAGAACATCCCGGATTCTAGGGTTAGACTTCGTAAACGGAACTGAAAGTAGCCAGTTTTTTAGTGACCCGGGCCGTCCAAATTGACGCGGGTTGGCGCTGGAGCATCAGGCTCGGCTAGCGGTTGCTATAGGGTCGTCGGTTGTAGCGGTGCGACACTCACTCCACGTCCGCTGCTGGTACAAGACGCATCGCTCCAGACCAGCTCCAGCACACAATTTTGTGAGTTGAGGCTCATTTATTGTGACTTTGATATCCTGCGGTTGTGTAACCTCGTCTTATGAGTTAATTTGAAATTGGATGAACATCAAATGCGTTTGTGTTACACCACTCCAAGGATAGTAGTGTCGAATAGCGGCATGTAGCCTCACGGTGTCATGCCTCACGGCATGTGGCCTAACGGTTTCATGTCGTATTTAAAAATTTGCTCCGTTAATAATTTCTTAATTCAGTATATGATGATTCAATGACGGTTTTATTTATGAGCCGCAATGTGCGTCCCGCAAGCTAGAACTACCCTCCTTAATTTTTTGAAAGATCGTTCTCGGATGCCGTTTGTTCAACGATGCCGAAAACTTTGGTGTCATCCGTGTTACTTACACAGTGCCTTATCATACAATGTAAATTCACTGTATAACAGAAAACAAAAGCTTGACATTATCAACCCTATTATATTTTATTTACATCATTATTTTTAATTAGAACACTTAAATATTTGTAGTTCGTCCAATTTTTTAGAAACGAATTATTCAACAAGAAAAAATAATATCGGTCAATGTAACTGGCTGAAAATAATTCCGAATATTAGTTATAACTTCATAATTAGTTAGTATGTATTTTAGTCTTTTCCGACGAATGTGTGAGTCTATTGTCTAGATTATACCAATTGATTCCTGTTTTGAATTAATCAAACGGCCAATCTTTAAACTATTAATTACATGCATTCATATTTTTCAGACAGAGTCAAATCCATCTGGACCCAGTTGTCAAATCTCGGCATTTCAACAGAAGATTTCAAAAATGAAAACCTTCGGTGAGTATCTTCAATAATCACCAGAAGCGCAAAATTCAATAATAATTGAAAAGAAGACGGAAAGGGCACTTACATGTTTATAGATATCGCTTCTTACTATATAATAGAATTTATGAACACAATTTTGGCTTGCAATCTTGTGCGTTCTTGCCAACAGAGTCGACACCGAGATATCCAATACGTGTCATGGAAGCTTTCTTTTCTCTCTTTCTCTGAAACACTGTGTCTCTATCTCCTAATTTCCTTAAGAAATTGCCCCATCAATCAATGGCAAACATCATACCCGGAAATGCAAAAGAGAAAGCTCTTGTCTAGTCATTGATTAAATTTCTCCTCTGAAGTGGCAGGGGAGACGTGGAGGTTAGTGGGGCAGTCTTGTACATGGGAGGTAATAACGGTGCACGAGTTAAAGCGGTGCAGCCTCGGGCTCATCTGCTAGCATGTCCCACTTAGCGCGCACCGTTGTCGCCTGGTGCCTCGCACTCTCTGCAGCATTCCAGACATGAGATCTCAACAGGCATGCTTGTAATAATAACAGAATTTAAAAGCAAAGAAAAGTCCACAAAAATTCATATCTTTATAGAAACGTTTTCTATAAAGATATGAATTTTTGTGGACTTTTCTTTGCTTTTAAATTCTTAGTTAATTTGCGATTTAAGCAAACATGTGATATAAATTCATTAATAATAACAGAATATGTCTTGTTTTAAATGAGGTTTACTCGGTGCCACAGAATGCGAAAATTTTATCATTATATTGTAATAACTGGCAACATTTTTAATGAATACAATTGCAGCAGATTCAACTTAGTGCCATTATAAGTCTATTCAAGTAAGTGAGTGCCTGGTTAAAAAAATGTCCGCTCCACAGCTCAACAAGATTAAGATTAAGATTAAGGACTCGCGTTTCCATAAAACTTCTTTATTTTCTAATCAATTTAAATGTAGAAATATTTTTACGAATTCTCATTGCTAATATTTCCTGCTATTTTTCTAGTAATTATTGTAAATTAATTAGTGCCTGGTGTGTACACTGAACAGTCTACCAATGATCTCTTGTAACATATTTTATGAAGTCCTTCTCATTGATTACATAAGAAACTATTCATCACATCACCTCACTGCAATTATTCCAGGTGCCATATTGAAGGACCCTATTACATCAATGCTCACTTATTTTAAGGTAATACTTTTTTTCTACTGGTATATGCTCTGGGACGACCGAACGTGACTACACAAATAAATGGTCGCCACCTAAGTAATTAAGCTCCAGGTAATCTGCAGTTACGCTTATCGGTACTAAACGAAAAAAAAACATTTAATAATATTCGAATTTCAAAATAAGAAAAGGCATCATTGATGCCTACTCAGTTATATTATCAATCTGCAGTTTTCCTCTATTACACGTGCTGGTAAATCACCTACATAGACCGAGAAGCTAGCGACAAGCTCCATCTCTTCATCCAGCACGTAGTGCAGCTATGATTTTTTTTCTACTCACAAGCCGGCCGGTTTACAAGACCGCATTGAGGTCGCTGGTCCGTTAGGCGGCAGGCGTGTTAATGGGCCTCGTGATGTGGCGACAGCTGCGTTCATATAAATTGACAACTATTTGGGACTAGGTAATAATTTTGCATTTAAATTTATCCATGAGGTTAATTCACTGTATGTATTTCGAGTTGAGGATGAATAAAGAATTGATTATATGGACAGGTTATAAATGTCAACGTGAGTTGAGGCCAATTTGTAAAATAAAAAAGAATTGTAAAATAATATATAAGAGACACAAAACATCAAACTAGATAAACTACGCAATTCCGCATAGGTAATGAACTGACTGTATTCATGAAGCAAAATGAGCCGCCGTGAGATTTCATGGAGCGGAACAAGTGCAGACTTGACAAGACTCTGTAGGTCATAAAATAATGAGCGTCATTATGTTATAGCGCGAGAATTTCATGCGGTGAGACACTTCAAGTGCGTCGCGTGCATTGATAGACTACTTTCTCTTCCAGGCTGTTGAGGTTTCCGTTTGAAGGGATGACCTATCTATAATGATTTAAATAGCATATGCCAAGTTGATACGTGGCATCGCGAAAAACTTAATTCGGTGAAATCATACTCATGATTTAAATTTTTTATCGCTTCGGGCACCATCACTTTAGCGTTGAGTTAGATATAGTAGATTATTATTGTTGTTTTATTTCACAAATACGTTTAAAGCATATATTATAATGCTGTTGAGAGATTTTTTAGTCTGATATCCACTTTTTCTTTCGTAAGACTTTATCAAAACGAACAAATACGTTCCAAATATTTACATTACGCGAATAAAATCCATTTTGTAATACCATTGTATTTTAACATATCGTTTGTAATTCTTGTATTAGTATATCAACAAATTAACCCGGCGTTACCGTTATCAAAATCCCTGGAGTCTGAGAATACTGATGTCCGTAATCCAATCAAAATAAATTGATTAATATTTTTAAAAGAAAGGTACTGTATCCAAATAAGTGCCTATTACAACCAGCATTAATAATTTAAAGCCCTACTTAAATTCCAGTTAGAAACAGCGCAATAAATCAACACATGCACGCTACAATTAAAGTATCGTTTTTACAGGTGCAACTGTACTGCTGCTGTCAGTCTGTGGCCATATGCTGCCCGGCGCTGAAGGCACGTTCTGCATATTCTCCTCGGCCCCTGAGTGCCGCAATTCCAACATCTATTCCTACTTCTCTGGCTTCGGCTCCCAGTCAAGATCTGGTCGCGCCTCCGTGTTCACCACGATCAGCTGCATCGCACACCAAGTGCCCAAGCTCCCTTCAGATTTCGATCAGCCTCTCTATCAGTATCTGTTCGAGACCTTCGCTCGCAACACCCATCTCTTGCCTCTCGGAGTTCCCATGCAGAGCAAGTCAGAAGATTTTGAAACAACAGCCAAGCTTGAGAAATGTCTCTGGGGAAAGATTGCTAACCGTGCGGGCACAGACGAAGAAAAATCTGATAATGAAATTGGCATCTCGGCCGAAACTAAAACTGAAGAGTCAGCCTACCAACAAATCTTTGCAAGCAGACAAGGCGGCTATGACACACTCACTGGCTTGACTTTACTCGGAAGCAAACTGATTGCAGCAATCGTTGGATACTCTATTTTCGCCCTCACTAGTGTCTCTTGATTTATTGGTCCAATGACCTGGCTTGATCGGAACGAAATTTGCGACTCTAATATTAAACAATTTACCTGATGATCTAATGGCATTGATATTTATCTTAGCATCGACATATTTATTTATTTATTTTCTGCTTATTTTAAGTTTTTTACGAATTGAAATTTTATGGATGAAAATTTTATTACACTGTTTCTTAGTACACGTCTCTGCTCCTATTTATTTAAGCTGCGTGATAAAAATGATCCTTCCTTGATTTGAATGTTGTATTTCTTTAGGCAAGAAATTGTTATTTTTGTTGTTTAGCGTGCTATGATATTAGCAGAATTAGAGATAATATATATGATACATTTTTAATTTTCCTTCAGGTAGCGCTGGGTTATTGTGGCTAATCAAAATCAAAAACTGAGGGTTTAATTTTTTAATAAATTTTAGTCCATTGATTTCACCAACACGAAATAATAAAAAAATATATTTAAAGATAAACTGATTTTAATCTGATCAATCTTCTGGATCATCTGTAGTAAGACATGAAGGCATGATGTATGAAATGTTTGGCATGAAGGCCAAACATTTTCTTCATAAGATGACAATCAAGTTCGACACTGATGGGGGATACATGATTCTCCAAACACATACATTTATTTCACTACCGCAGATTAGCGACTTAATAAACGCCTGCATATAATAAACTCCACAATTTTCAATGGCCAAAATTACCCTCAACTTGAAGTGCCTTACAAAACAATTAATACTACTTTTTGTTATTACATGACCCTAAAGTCGCGTCAGGAAAATAAAGGGACGAATACTAATGTTACCCACTTGAAACAAAATTCTTAGTTTCGTAGAGTGGCAAAATTACTACATCTAGGTTTCCATCAATCGTGGCAAGGGTTGAGAATGGAGAAATTGCTTTGGTGACTCCAGATCATGGTCAATCTTGGATCATGGTCAAATTGACCAATGACCATGGTGACTCATGGCCATTGGTCAATCTTCCTCAAGAGCCCACGTCGCTTGAGCGGCCGCCAACAGCCGCGTGACTTGCGACGACAGTTCGGCGACAGTTTCATTCTTTGGTTCGTTGGTGACGTCTTTTAAGAGCTTCCGACCGCCGGTGGTGCATGTGGCGAACTGAATGCAATCTTTCTTGATGATGCAGTAAAAGTAAATGTATGTTAAGAAAGTGCAAAATACACCAAATGCAAGTAGTGTAAACGGGTCTATGTACTTTGACATACCCCCATAACCACCATGACCTCCGTAAGAGACTTCCGAGTGACCATATTCCCCGTAGCCGCTACGACCTGCCGACTCTTGTTCCATCGCTGACCACGTGCCGTTGCCAGCCAAGTTCTGCCACCTGATGAAAGGAAGTTTGGTTAGTCCAATTTGAAAGATTAGACAGAATTTAGGAAGTTCTAAGCACTGAGGAATTCTGCAAGTGGCCAATTTCTTCATAGGAGCTCAACTATACTTGATTTTTTTTAAGTATGCCTCTAAAAAATATCTTGTCGAAATATATTGACCGTTGAAAAAAAAATTAAAAATATAACAAATTTTAATATTTAAAAATAAAATTAGAAATTCATTGACCATGTGTAACATCGGAAACTCCGGCCTCCTTAGAAGTGTGGTCTTTAAAAATTACTTTTTAAACTCACATTTTTTTATTGGGAACGAAAGAATATTATACGTTTAAAAATTACTTTTTAAAGACATCACTTCTAAAGAATCCAGTGTCTCAAATATTACATATGTAAAATAAATTTCTAATTTTATTTTCGAATAATAAAAAATTAATTTTTTATTTTTTTAATATATAATAAAAATTCAAAATTATTTATTCTGTCAATTGATTCATGCATTGCCTCCGACTTCACACAAGTATGCGGAATTTCAGATCAATTGGACAGGTAAAATTGTGTCAAATATCACTTATAAGATTTGTAGCTGACAAAATTATTTTTTTAATTTTTTAATATTGAAAAAAATTATTTTTTTAAATTATTCATTTTGTTAATTGATTCATGCATTGTCTTCAACTTTACGTAAGTGTGCAAAATTTCAGATCGATATGATATGATAAGTAGAAGTGTGTTAAATTTTGATTATAAGATTTGTGGCAGACAAACAAACAACAAGAAGTGAAGTTAAAGAGAAGTGTTGTAAATAGTTACCTGTGACTAACTGAATGAAAATTCGAGTTGTAAGACGATTCTGATTCAGACAGAAAAGTCTAAATCGCCAAGCGATTCTAAATTTATGAGATGAAAATTTTACTGTTTTTAAAAAAGTCAACAACAGTAAGATTATTGGAAGTTTGATATTAGTCTCATTCATTTCTAGAACTTTGTATGACAGAAATACAACTACAGAACTTACTGTTGAATTATGTCGACAAAAGACATTGTCAAGCGAAAAACTGTGTTGTAATGCTTTTATTTTCTTTTCTCTTTCGTTCAATTTTTTCTTGGCTCCCAGTTTCAGTGCCTTGAAAAGTACACGAATAAAATACGACGTATAGAATGAGTAGTTCTCCGACAAGGTTTTTCTTGGCTGACAGTTAATTCTATCTTCGTTTACTTCGTAATATCAATTTTAACGCAGTATTAATTATGAGTGGTTAATAAAACCAAGAAATTTCTTCAACATGCAGAGTTGGCAGAAATTTAATTGAAATCACATTCAATCATCATAATTTGCTTATATTGTCTAAATGTTAAACAATCAACTCGGCTAATGCTCTCTTCATCTAGGTATTCAATTTCTTACTAATTATATAATTATGCTTTAAAGCTCGGATCTCTCTCTGAACCATGAGGAATTTTTCCTTAGACAGAGACCAAAGGTACCCGTTAATATAAAATCAATCATAAGCTCAATTAATCAAGATAATGACAAGCGTACAATTACTTTTATTCGTGTTGAATACTAAGAGAAAATTTGACTAAATTTATTTAGTAAATTTATTTTATTTTATTTATGATTTATTTATCATCGATCTGATTTATTTGCCATCATCAGAAGTCTCTTCAGAGCTATTCACTATGTTAATCCGATGCGGACGGTGGCCACAACATTACTGCGGTAGAATTGAAGCGTATCGGCAATAAGCTCGTCTACAGCCCGTTTGACAAACAGAGTACGAAGACGTGCTAGGCTACGGTGATCTGGTATGCTAAGCAGGGCGCTTCTTTTCATTGTTGACATTCACCGGCAATATTTGACTTTAGACCGGAGGCATGCATTAAGGTATAGAGTAGCTCACGTTCGTGGCCACTAATACTGTTAAACGCTCCAATTATCCACATCACTAGTCTTTATTGTGTGCAACCATGTTCTCCTTCGCCAAAGCAAATAATACAAAGCTAAAACGCTCGAAGTTTCAAATCTTCAATATTCAACTGCTATTTACTTTTAACATAGTTTTTCATCTGACAAAGACCTAAACAGACCTATCTATCAAATTATTACACATGTCCATTGAACATTAAATCCATTGTGGATGTGTGAACCTGGTATATGAGATACACCTCATCGATGCCACTAAATTAAATCGATGTTTTGGATTATCCATAGCTTGAAAAATTCAAACATACGTTGCTTTGTTGTAAATTCTTATAGAATGTTTTTAAAAACTGAAAATCCGTTCGAAAATTTCTATTACACAATTTTTCCCGGTGAACGTTTTCCGCAAATTCAATGTGGATATTGTTATTTTTCCGGTTTATAATATTGTGTAAATGTTTTCAAAATTCAATTTATATTGATAGATTCCTAATTCTTTTTCAAAATACGTATTTCGAGCATCGTTGCTTTGAGATTTGGATTTTTTTCGAACAACCTTACAAACTGCAAACCAAATATCCTAGCTGCGTGGCCTGAGTCGAATTCTGAACTCATCGACGTTGGCTTCATCTGGAAGATTTTGAGCACTTTTTTCCCAATCATCGAGCGCTCCTGCCCAACAAGTCCTGATCCACATCCAGTAAACTCGACCCTGACCACCAGCCAATCTGACTAGGACCAATGCTGGTCATGACGTTATAATGAATGTAATTGTAGAGGAGGTACCCCAAGAAGATAGCAAAAGAGAATAATGCCAAGGTGCTGAAGAGGTCCAATGTTTTGTCATCGCCATACCTGCCATGGAGGAAACATTGTTTAACTCGTAAAGAAAACTTTTCTAACATATTGTATACAAACATGAGAAAATAATTATCTTTAAAAATTCTGGAAGACCATAAATGTTTTTCTTGTAAATCTACATATGAAGAAAGGGTTTTCTTACCGTTATATTGATGAGCGTTTAAATTAAATTAAGTTGAATTAAATTAGCCTTAAAGCCATATTTTGTTCAGTAAGGATTTTACAATTTCTCTTGAATTAGTTATTTGTTTATTAGTATTACTGACTTGAAAACTCAATTACCGCATTTACTGTTGCCCAACTTCTTATTCACTTTGAGATAAGAATTTTTCTCATAACTAATTATTGCAGGTGAAAACTAAACAAAATTTTGGAATCATGGAAAAATACAACCTTGAATTTAAGCAATTTGAAAATGAAAAACTAAACAATGGCGAAAATTAGGCGTTCTGAATTTTTGTCGAAAAAGTGTTGGCAATGGGAAAAAGCATGTCAGTAAGTGAAATTATGATGAGTTGAAAGGAATTAAAATTATTCATAAACACTGTCACCCGCACAAATCTCATCACAACAAATACATGTTCATTGTTCATACCCACGTCCACATGATGCACGTTTGACAGCCATCAAATTCTTGCTCCCAGGTACCAACGTCCTCATCAGGCCTTTACTCGTATCGTGATGTAGATCGTCTTCATGCGAAAATAATCTCATTGGCTGGACTACATGCGGTTGACTGCAAGTAAACGATCGGCAAGTTTTGTCAACATTTTTCAATTATACTTTTGATGCTATCCTAGTCTTAGAGTAATAATTGTAGTCGAGAAATTAAATCAATTTTAAATTAATTTTAATTTTGGGACCATGTTATTTCTCGAAACAAACGCTTTGCTCTGACCTAATTCTCAAGCTTCCTAAAGCTAAACTCAAGTCACTCCATTGCAATTGACCATACCTTTTATTGTTAAATATTTGTAGTGACTCCTTAACTGCTATATATGTTCCATGGTTCTTGTTTCCAGTAATGATGGTTGCGGAGCACCCGGAGAACATAACTAGCAAATGCAGTATACTGGATGCAGCTGAAAGTCTCGTCAGATCCTGTTATAAAAACTTCAAAAAGAGTATATTCGTAAAATTAAATTCAGAGTTGTACCGAAAATAGAAATAACTCCTTCGAATTGTTCAATGTAATTTCATCTACGGTAAAATTTATGTTTTTTCTCCTTGTTTAATTGCAATTTTTCTCGGTAGTAAAGTTTTGAGAAATGTAAGACATTATTAATAATGCATTATGGAAAGGTGTCACTTAGGAATATTACATTAAAAGTCTTATTTAAGCCAAGCCCATTGAAATGTCCAAAAGTTGAAAATGCTTTAATCATATTCAATCCCCGACGTAATCATTTTAGTGAAATATTTACTCACCATATTACAGTGCTTATTCGGAATTATACGACGTAGTAACTCTTTTTTAACTTATTAATTGGTGTTTATCAATAAAACGTTAGTATTTGTTGATCAGGAATCCTCGCAGGAGTTCAGCGGCATCTCTCAAATTATGAGCTAAATTAAACTGATGCGTTGATTTTGTACTCTAACGTTTAAAACTTATTACTAAAGCAAGCTAGGGAGAGATGACACTTGCACGACGAAACATGACCAACAGACGGAAGATCGCTCAAGAGACCTCGACTTGGCACCGCCAGAGGGCGACTCTAGCAGCGCATTGAACCTGTCGCGCTTATTGCATTCCTGGAGGCTCTCGATATAACGCACTGCCATGAACAGGTCAATGAAGTAATGAACGAACTGAACGAAAATTTATTACCATGAATGACATAATTTCCGCATCATAACATGATTTCTTATTAACGGAACGATTAATATTTATCGCCGTATTAATGAAAATATCGGGCAAACATCTGTTAATGTGGTACTATAGTGATACAGAGAAATAAATAAGCAAACAGAAGATAACCAAATTAACGAAGTATCAAAATAAATATTCCTAACATAATTAAATTTAGAAATGCTCATTGATGTATTAAATACTATATGTCCGTTTTTTTACAGGAATTACAGCAAAAGTATATGTACAGAGTTGAAATTAAGCGATCAGTTGTAATGCCATACAATGAAATTCCTTACTTGGAACTCAATTTAAGATTCCTCTGCATACGTCTACAACACGCGCATAATAAATTCAAATGGTCGGCGATTCCTTCAGTAATTTTCATCACAAAGATTTTTCCTTATCTAGAAATGTCTGAATTAAGCAACACTCCATCTGAGAGAGAGTGCAGCTTGTTATTGATGAACACACCTCTGTGGGCAAGTTCCCCGCTAGGCTCTGAAATTTCATCAAAAAGAGGGTTGATCACCCCAACAGCGGTTTCAAAATCTTCATTTCGATACGTCTTAATGCTATTTTGAAGTCTTTTGTTGAAAATAACCCTCTTGCTACGCTCATTATCTTCGTTGAATTTCAGTAATTCCTGGATCGTGATTGGAGCTACGCTAAGCTCTCTGTCTGCGTTTGGAGGCAACAGCAGTAAAGAAGATCTCACAGGCATCGAAATGTCATTTTTGCTCGGAAGATTTGTTCTATGCTGACGTCTGTGCAAAGCTTCAGACGGAAATTGTGACACTGAGGTAGATATGTTTATTGTTTTATTATATTGTGAGCGCAGTGCCGTGGGTGGTTCAGTAGACGTGTTTAAAACAGAAGTCTGAGGGAGTGTATACGTGGGGACCTCTAGAATTGGGAGAGTTGTAGCCGTTTCATCAGTTATTAAATTTTGTTTTCCATGATTGCTTTCTATTGACATTGTACGGGATTGAAGGTCATTTATAGGCAATTCGGTCAAATTTTTGAACACTTTCAGTTCCTTTATCTCCCTCAAAAGCGTAATCACCTTTTTTTTATCCTCTTCACTTAGAGGCACCCATTTGTTCCCTTGAGAAGTTTCTCCTTTACCGGTAATGGTATTGGTACCGAGGGTCCAAATATATTTAATTTTTCGGTATATTTCCAGAGCTCTGCGCAACAACTTGTTAATGCCAGTATCAGATGGATACTTTTTTAAAAGTCGATATGCGTTTAGAACAAACAATGCTAGATTGTTCTTCATATTAACAGTATGTTTTGCATTAATCGAGTTCAACATTTCATCTAAGTATTCTTCACTGATTCTATGTTCTGAATATATGATATCAGAAGTCGCCATAGGCCGAGGGTATGGCTTTAAATGTGACGATGCAGTAAAATTCTCATATTCGGAGGCAGCATCAACAAGAAATTTTAGTGTTTGTTCCACATGAGGATCAGGTCGAAGTTTTCTTTCTGGTGCTCCTCTGCCAGCAAAAGGATTATTAAGGCTGAATAAAATCATGGACGTGAGAGTGCCGAGAGCAGCTACCGCAGTTACTGTGAGGTATTCCTTAGTGCCGACC